CAGGAGAATAATTATGGATAATATCATTGCAACACAAAATACAACTTGAATTACAAGAGGAATGTTACAAATGCAATTCTAAGTCTAGTCTTCCAGGATTCACAAACTCATCGTAACTAACCCCTGGTCCCGGGAAAGCTTTAGCAAACTCTAATTTGTCTAAAAGCTCACCAACAAAGAAAGAAGAAATGAAAAGTTTCCTCTGACTCAAAGACATGAAGTTCTGCCTCACTGCATCGTCTAGAAATTTGATTAGGTTATTGAAATAACCGTCAATGTTCAAGAGACCAATGGGTCTATTGTGTAACCCTTCAGAAGCCCACGAGATCAAGGTAAACAGACCTTCCATAGTGTCAACTCCTCCAGGAAGAACAATGAAAGCTTCCACGGCATGATTCATCTCAAAATATTTGTAGTAATTGCTGGAAACTGTGTGCTCTACACCGTACGTAGGTCCATAGACCCGTCGTGTTGCTATGTACCCAAGAATGAAACCTCTAACGAGACCTCCATTGGTAAAGACTGTTGAAGCAAAAGCTCCTTGTAGGCCAACGTTGCCTCCTCCATAAGCAAGACTAATTCTTCGTCTTAACAATTCCCTTCCTAAATCTACCGCAGTAGCCATAAACATTGGATTTCTACCAAGAGAATGACTGCCAAGTAGACCAACGAATCTTATGGTGTAAGGAAGTGTTCGAGAAGTTCCTTCCATAATATGAGAATGTGAGATACTCTTTCAATAATCGTGATATATATAGTCTTTGAAACCTGACCATGGATGGAAAGGTAATTATCACCAGCCAAAATATGTACAGTAAATGGACTCAAATTACCTGCATACGAGAACGTACTCGCTAATGCTATAGTCTGCTGACGATATGACGTGTTGAGACTCTTGAACAGTTAGATTCGCTGTCCTAAAACACGTTCAAATCCGAGATGAAAAGTCAAAACGACTATTTCCTAGGACAATGACTCCTTGAGTAACTTCCAAAGAGTGAAACATTGAATAAAGAAAATCTACGATTGGCAACGATAAGTCGCAAACACTATCTTTGTATCTTGTGACTCACATCCTTGAATGACTCGACTTGTTGTGTTAACTACACCCTTGAAATACCTCTCTTGATCGATCTTGAATTCCATTCTTTGTGTCAAAATACTAAAACCACGATTCTTCATTAAACCAAAGATGCTTCATGATACCGATCTTTGAAAACTATAGTCTGTGAACTACGTGACTCGATCACAATAGTAAAACTACCCTGACTTGAACATTATGTTAAACCTCTCTAGGGAACTGCTGCGAAACAGTTAATACATTTATGTTATCTCTGAAGATTATTATCGATGATCTTATGGACCAAACAAACTCCGTCATAACCCTAGCAAGGATATGTGTCTGCAACAACCAAAGAAGAAATGACGTCACGAGAACAAGCTGAATCATTCAAGCGAAAATCCCTAACCTATATGCGATGTTGGTATTAGAACTTGTAAAGATCCCTCACTTTATGAATTCGTGAATTCAATCTCATACCGATTATATTTCCTTCTTCACTCGAAATGAAATCAACCATAGTGTTACACCAAACCCGTCATTATCAAAAACTTATATTCCAAAATCGATGGAGAAAGTTGAATACGACAAGACGTATATGAAACGCCACTCTAATGTTATCATCTGTGGATACGAATTAATGCAAAGACTCATTAACGATAAATGAGAGCTACCATGAAGATGAATGAAGAAATGTTTCAACATAAGGTCGATGAATAACGAACTACTGTACAACCGATCGACAGTACCTCCTCATAAATGATGACAAATCCCATATTCTGGAAATCATGAACCAATAAAAGACATTTGATGTTACTTACGAATCATTGCTGAACTATGAAAACGATGTGAGGATGTTTTGGGTGAAGAT